TATATATATATATATATATATATATATATATATATATATATATATATATATATATATATATATATATATATATATATATATGTAAGCCCTGCTAGGGGGGGATACCTAAAATCTACCCTTCTAGGCTTAACTAACTAATCTGTCCGGTCAGTGCAACCGTGGTAGAACCCACAGTGGTTAAACCCTAACCTTAGTCTAAATAATAAGCTACTAAAATAAAACAAAAACTTTTACAGTTAATAAAATTTATTTACCAAGAATGACTAGTATAAAATTTATTCAACAAAATATGGAACCAAAAGTTATAAAAAAAGAACAGATAAAAACTGACAAAACAGAACCAAACGAAACAAACTTTTTACATCAAACAAAACACCCAATTTCGGACTTCGTCCTAGAAAAAGGAAAACAAATAAATTAATTACTTTACAAAGAAAAGTTATATACAAAGCAGTAAGCTGACACAATTGTCAGCCTAAACAAGAGGCTCTCATAAATGAAAGTAAAATCTACAATAATCCATGACTAAACCCAGGCCATCGTGCTACCACGTGGTCTGGATAAAACGAACCTTGCAACTTCTCAAAGTCAAGACTAAATAGATCTAGTATATAGTCACTTTGTATACAAAATAAGCAAACAAAAATATGGAAAACATAATAAAACACTATAAAAATAACCCTACGTTACCATACACCACATAAACGTGACACAGAAACTCTTCAACACACAGGCCTCGACATTCCAGCAGAATGTCCCTCCATTTCGACACACCACATTCACGAACAAAGAAACCAATACTACGAACAAAGAAACCAATGCTACGCACAAGAAAATAGTCCCTAATACAATAATCAGTAACTTACATTCAGGATATAAAGCAAAGTGGAGCCACACTCCAAAACAAAGTTTGCATAAATAATAACATCAAAATATAAGCAAGACACAATAACCAGGCTATCAATCATTTTAAAATAAAAATCATATCAGCGCCATAATAGCGGACTACTTAACTAAAGACCACAACAATCCTCAAAGGAACATAAAAAGCGACATTCGCCTTCTTAGTTACAAATAATTATAATAACAGATAAACACACTCCAGCCGCTCACATACACGCCCCTTAAAGCTTGCGGTCACCGCAAGCAAACAAACCTGAAAAAAATCAGCCCACAGGGCACAATCATAATTTTACAAAAACAAAAACTTTGCAAAAAAACCAGCCCACAGGGCACAATCACAATTTCAGCAAAACACAATTTTGCAAAAGAACTTGCAAAAAAATCAGCCCACAGGGCACAATCATAAATTTTACAAAAAACAAAATTTTGCAAAAAAATCAGACGATGTGGCTGTAGCAGCCGGCGGTACAACTTTGACCGGCCTTGGGGAGGGCGGTTGAGCCTTGGGAGGCACATATCTCCTAATCTGTGTGCTGGCCACCCGGCGGGTGCCAGAAGGGCCATCTTTCTTTTTAATGGTGTAACACCCGCCGGTGATCGGAGGTAATTCGACCACGACATAAACTGTCGGGCCGTCCAGGTCTGCCTTTTTGCGTCTGCCTAGTGGGGGTTGTCTCAGAAGGACCAGGTCGCCTATGGCCAGTTCAGCTACAGGTGCCTTTTTGACCAGTTTGTCCTTCTTGCCTGACTCTGTCTGGGGGCATGCCCCAGCACCACCACCCGGTGCATTAATTAAGGATGGGTTAGGTGGAACCATTGCCTCTAGTTCCTCAGATTGGTCCACCTTTACACTGGTTATGCTGGCGCGTAGGCAGGATGTTGGGCCTGATACCACTGACGGATCTGGGTGAAAAGGTTGGTCTAATGGCTGTACCACCTTGTCGTCCTTCATTCTGGGGTCTCCTTCCGTCGCCTGAATGGTTGGTACACCCTTGGCAGGCACCAGAGTCCTTTCGCGGGGGCGTAGGACCTTGTCCCCTCGCCATACCTTCGGTGTCGCTTGATTCCCTTTGGTCTCATATTTCTTTGCCATATGGCAATGACGGGCGAGGTGACCCCTCTGGTGACAGTTATAGCAGCCCTTTGATTGGACCTCCGTGCGCTTGCGAGGTGCTTGGCGCACATTGGAAAATTTGGGGTCCCGCGTAAAGTGCTTCAGCAGAGCAGCAAGCTGCTCGGTGAGCCTGTTGACTTTGTCCTCCAGCTTGGACCTAAACGAACATTTTTCAATCAGACTGGCATTTATTGCTGCCACGTAGGCAGGTTCAGCAAGAGGGTCCTCGTCTCCAGACCATCGAATGGCCGCATCCCGTATGGCCAGGAAGGGGATCTTAGGGTCCCGGAAAATCAGCTCGTGCAGTTGGCGTCTGACTGTGGCCTGGCTCAGGTTTTCCACAAACTGGTCTCGAAGAAACCCTGCATCAGTCTGTGGGACCTGCAGGGCACTCTGCCTCGTAACCAGGGTCTTGAAGGCCCTGTGCAGTCGGTGCGAGTAGGCCCTCACCGACTCGTGTTGGCCCTGTACAACCATCTGAAACTGGGCCATTAGCTGCGGTACTCTCCTCTTCTCGCCGTACACCTCTCTGAGGAGCCTGAGGGTGGCTTCTGGGTCATGCTGCAGGTCATCACCCCTGCAGCTCAGCTCCTCTCTCACCGCTTCCCCCAGGTACTGCCAGAGGAGGTCCTTCCTCTCTTCTACTGAGAGGTTTCCCCTGGCCCTCCAGAGGGACTGGACCTCTTTGATGAACCGGTCCACCTCATAGCCATGGCTGTCCCCATGAAACTTCCTGATGAGGATCTCCCTGGGTGGAACGATGATGATGGTTGGTGCCACCTCCGCCATCTCGTCCGAATTGGGTGTTTTAAACAACAAACGATTCCTACACTAAACAAAAATTAAACACATATGGTTCCATAAAGGGCCTATCAAGAAAAAAATTTAACTAAGCTACACCTAGCCCTAGCAAAAAAAACAAAAATTTAACTAGACTAAAGCACTGACCCCACTCGTGCTACCAATTTGTAAGCCCTGCTAGGGGGGGATACCTAAAATCTACCCTTCTAGGCTTAACTAACTAATCTGTCCGGTCAGTGCAACCGTGGTAGAACCCACAGTGGTTAAACCCTAACCTTAGTCTAAATAATAAGCTACTAAAATAAAACAAAAACTTTTACAGTTAATAAAATTTATTTACCAAGAATGACTAGTATAAAATTTATTCAACAAAATATGGAACCAAAAGTTATAAAAAAAGAACAGATAAAAACTGACAAAACAGAACCAAACGAAACAAACTTTTTACATCAAACAAAACACCCAATTTCGGACTTCGTCCTAGAAAAAGGAAAACAAATAAATTAATTACTTTACAAAGAAAAGTTATATACAAAGCAGTAAGCTGACACAATTGTCAGCCTAAACAAGAGGCTCTCATAAATGAAAGTAAAATCTACAATAATCCATGACTAAACCCAGGCCATCGTGCTACCACGTGGTCTGGATAAAACGAACCTTGCAACTTCTCAAAGTCAAGACTAAATAGATCTAGTATATAGTCACTTTGTATACAAAATAAGCAAACAAAAATATGGAAAACATAATAAAACACTATAAAAATAACCCTACGTTACCATACACCACATAAACGTGACACAGAAACTCTTCAACACACAGGCCTCGACATTCCAGCAGAATGTCCCTCCATTTCGACACACCACATTCACGAACAAAGAAACCAATACTACGAACAAAGAAACCAATGCTACGCACAAGAAAATAGTCCCTAATACAATAATCAGTAACTTACATTCAGGATATAAAGCAAAGTGGAGCCACACTCCAAAACAAAGTTTGCATAAATAATAACATCAAAATATAAGCAAGACACAATAACCAGGCTATCAATCATTTTAAAATAAAAATCATATCAGCGCCATAATAGCGGACTACTTAACTAAAGACCACAACAATCCTCAAAGGAACATAAAAAGCGACATTCGCCTTCTTAGTTACAAATAATTATAATAACAGATAAACACACTCCAGCCGCTCACATATATATATATAGTTTGTTGTATGTATTTCCATAATTTCACAGATAAAACCATTCCCACAACAGCTTGTATGTGCCAGTCGGTTAATAAAACAAACCCAAGATGAAGACACGCCCCGTGTTGCTTGTACTTGCTGCCCTGTGTAGCCTTCAGACACAAGTTGATGGTTTGTAGGGATTCTTCTATTTAAAAAAAAATCCAAGCCGATATATAAATTAGTGCAACATTGAGACAGCGCACACGACTTCTCCAATATTAGATTAAGTTAGTTTTTTATTCTTTGATATTGTCTTCAAAGTTGTAATCAAATTATAATCACTGCTCTTCCCTCCCCCCCCCCCCACCTCCTCCACCACCGACGAAATTGATTTTTAAAAAAAGTCAAATTTAAATAGAAAGTATGAACTTTAACGATTTTTCAAATTGCTGCTCTCTCTCTTTCTATCTCTCTTCCCCTCCTCACCTTCTCTGGACGTTTCAGTTGTCCCTATCTCAGATCGAAATATCAGAAAAGAAAACCGCATACAAAACTGTGTATCAGTACCACTTGATTAGCAACACCATTATCGAGTCTTCTTAAAGGCAAAACTAAAGAAACTATTTTTGCGCAGGACAGAGTTATCTTCCTTATATGTTTTCAATACATTACAATTAGAATGATAACACACATGTCTCGGCACACACTATGTCTTATCTACATTCAATGTCATTCTATCCCAGGCTGTGAGAACGTGAAGATGGACATGATCTTTGTGGTCGATTCGTCTAGCAGTATCGGAGCATCGAACTACAAGCTGGGGATAGAGTTCATGAAAGACCTGCTTGCTGAGGCTGACATTGACAACGGCAATGTCAGGGTCGGAGTCGTCATCTTCAGTAGTGCAGATACAATCCAGTTCCACTTGGACAAGTACAAAACCAAAGCTGAACTGTTTCAAGCCATCTCCGCCATCCCTTATATCACAGGCTACACCAACACTGCTGATGGTCTAAGAACAATGAGAACCACAATGTTCTCTCCAGAGCACGGAGATCGTCCCAATGTCACCAACATTGCTGTGGTCATCACAGATGGTCAGTCTAACACCAACAGTGAAAGGACAATCCCAGAGGCTGAGGCTGCCAAAGCCCAAGGCATTCAGATCTATGCTATTGGTGTTGGCGCAGGCATTACTGAAGAATTAAATAAGATCGCAAGCACGCCCGTTGATGATTTTAGATTTGAAGTTGAAAATTATTCTTTACTCAAAAGTCTGAGAGAAAAACTGTTTAGCGCCATATGTAAGTAGTATGAATTCCTACAACATCGAATTAGTACATAACAATGTATATTTTCTGTAACGTCTCATTAGTACATTTAAATGTATATTGTTAACGAGTTATACACACTTGTTGCATTGAAAAGGAGAATGTTGGGGAGTGATACCCTCTTGAAAGGATTTCCAAAAGAATAAGCATCCAACTAAAGAAACTAAGCATGAATAATTCAATATCCAACTATACTGACTGTATTTGCTTGTCATAGTAATAAGGGGTTGCATATAAACGACGTCACAACCAAAATATGTAAAACAAAAATTAGGGGGTGGTTACAGTTAAGCCTTCACCACTGTCCTTTTTAAAATATCAATGAATTACACAACAGTAAAGGTAATTAACTTACAGGTAGTTAAATAATGTTTTGACGTGCTATGATGTTTGACCAGGTTTGTACGTGACAGAAGCCCCAACACCTGCACCTACAACACCTAAACCAGTTGTGATCAGTAAGTGAAATGTCCCATCTCACACAGCTCATCTTTCAAAGTATAAAGTAGTTTAATATGCTAAATTTTAATGTTTCTTACTATTGTACTCAGATAGCCGTTTTTAAAAAAAATGTAATTTGCTTATGTTTTGTACTTAAGCATACAGAGAAGTATAAGTTTACGACTGCTAAGCTTTGTTTAGAATTTAGACTAAAGACAAAAATTCATCGATAAATATAAGTAAACTGAAAATATTGGCAATTGTTGATGTATAAAATGTATGTTTTCAATCCACTTTGACTTCTCATCTCACCAGAACGTGTGAACACCAGGTTTGATCTAGTGTTTGTACTTGATGCCACTTCCAGTGTGTCCAAATCTAACTTTGATCTGATGAAAAAATTCATCAAAGATTTCATCTATGAAGACGATATTTACAATGAAAATGTTAGAATTGGTGTTGTCACAAGCAGTAACAGTCATATCCAGTTCCATCTTGACAAGCACATAACTAAGCATGACGTCATCAATGACACAGACGCCATAGCCTATCCACCAAATGACAACACCAACACAGCAGATGCCATTAGAACAATGAGGACAGAGATGTTCACTGAATCAAATGGGGATCGTTTAGAAGTTGATAACATCGCCATAGTACTGACAACTGGTGTTTCCAACAGTCAAAACATTCAGGCAGAATCTGATGCGGCTAGAACACAGGCCATTCATATCTTTGTTGTTGGCATTGGTCTAAGGGACACCACACAGTTGGATGTTATCGCCAATAAACCAGTTGACCAAAATAGATTTACTGTCAATGATTTTACAGATCTTGAGGACCTCAAGGAGAATGTTTTTTCTGCTGTGTGTAAGTTGCTAAGAGCTGTTTTCATTCATTGAATATAAGCTCTCTGTTTCCCTAAAGGTCTTTATTTGAAGTAGAGTTTGTATGTTTCTTGACCTCGGCGTATGAAGGGATGGTGTGGTCAGCACTATGTCCGGCCGCCTTTACTTTCCCCAACGTTAATCTGGTATTCATAAGCATTAGATGGACAGAGGGACGTCTTGCAGTCCGGACCGAGATCCAAACTCCAGACCTTCGGGCTAGTATGTAAACGCACTACCATTCGACCACGCCGTCCCATTAAAAAGTAAACTTACCTTTGGAGCCTGAGGTTCTATGGGCAGGGGAATTAGATTTCACCTGTTTCAGTGACCACGTCATATGAAGGGTTAGTCTCAGATTAATTCAAACATTTCCAATGTAAACAAAAACAAAAACCACTCTAGTTTGAAAGAAAAAAATATCTATATATATAATTCTCTTCATGGAGACCATAGAAAACACAACGCAGCTTAGCCACCACCCTCATCCTCACCTCACGTATACTACGTCGCGGGTCAGCTCGTATATTTTATTACAACTCTGCGCATAATTGATATGATATTTGTTTCTCAAAAGTTAAAACTGTCAAGGAAAAACGAAGTGAAAGAAAAGATTGTCCACCAGAACCTGCTGCCGTGGTACTGGACGTCTGGACCAAACCATCTGGTGAGGGCTATTTCGTCTGCTCACTGTCAGAGTTTCTACCAGAAGGTGTGGACATCTTGTTTACATTGTACGTAGAGGGAGAAGTTGAACATCTCAACAAGAAGATTAATTCATCAGTAAAAGAGGGACTTATTCCATTTACTGACGTCAATCGAGCTTTGTATAACAAAAGGGTAAAAAGTTTAAAAACTGTTTCTGATAAATAATAATAGCAACGTTAAAAATATATGGGAAAGAAAAGTATGTTTCAGAAAGACTTTTTCTACTGTTATTATTTTTTCAGATTTACTTTTCGGCTGTGGTACAAAATGTGACAAGTGGATCAAAGAATTGTCACGAAGAAAGCAGCAATGTTATCACTCCATCCATCATGGTAAGTTGCAGCTGTAGAGAAATATAACTGTTCTTGCTTTAACGAAACGTTTTTAACCATACAAAATACTTTGATTCGAAAATGGAAGGATATGTTTATAAAAAAAGTTTGGTAGTAATAACGCACGAAGTATTTCTTCTGCTCTTTACAAATCAATGTATTTTTTAATACAGTGTCCACAACAAACTACCTTAAGATTAGTTGAAGGTCAAGCTCCTGTAAATCTGGTTTTTAAATTGACTGCACCACCAGAACTTTACTGTACTGTTAGACCAGGAAGTCCGTGTGATGTGGAGGTCGTCATAGAGATTCTTCCAGGCAGTGATGAACTCAAGTAAGATTTACTGTAGGGTGTCATCCATTATTGATCTCACGCTTTTTTAGACCATTTTTAAGATGAGTTTTACCTCCCCTCTCTCCCCCCCCCCCCCGTCACACAATGTCACAAAAAGCTAAACAAGTACATCAGCACTCAAAATTACAATTTTAAATTATATTTCAAATTATAACATGTTGACTGAGGTCAGTCAACATAGAGTATATTATTCAATTTATATTACAATTTACAAAAATAGCGTTGGAAAATAAACGTTAAAGTAGTTATAAATTATAAGACAGATCAGTAATTATAGCGATATTTTTTAAAGTTAAATTAGAAGGGAGCTAACTCAGTATACGACGTTTTCCTGTTATTCCAGTTGTTCTAACACTGAAATCATACCTCAAGTTGTATTTGAAACTAAAAGCTGTGGCCAGAAATTTTCTCATGATGATTGGAAGGATGGAATCATTATTCCCGTGAAGGCAACAATAGACAGAATCATAGATGGGGACAGATATTTAACCATACAAAGCTACATTAAATTCAGTGGTGATGTAAGGCACTATCATAAACGTGATATAAATTAAATTTTAAATGTTTGTAGAATGGGAAACTTATGAATGCTACTTATGTTTTAATAACAGCTAAAAGCTTTATACATCAATGCATCAGTGGTTACAAAAATTCTAGCTTTAACTTACTCGCTTTTGAATGACTTAGAAGTAGATCTACATATATAAATTTATTGTTTCTCTCACCTTGTAGCTAATCCCCCAGGAGAGTTGTGTTGATATACAAGCCACTGTTGTTGATAAGGACAGAACTTATATCTGCTATTCTGTCAATGATCCACATATTTCAACTTTTGATAAAAAGTATTAAATTTCTGGACATGTTTATTTAACATTACGAATACTATTCTATAAATTCTTAATTTAGGCTATGACACAATGCATACATATTACATAGCTATGTTAGTAGCCTAATTGTTTTTTTTATTTTAAATTAGATTCTGGCACTTAATAGTAAGATTTTATTAACAATATTGTGATAGTATTACATTATTATCCTACGTTAAAATTTAATTTTTGACTAACCCTACAATTTTCCCAGTTACTATGACAACCACCTATCAGGTGACTTCATCCTCTACAAACACAAGACACTTCCATATCAGGTGAAAGATGTTATAAAGGATATAAACTTGTATCCTATTTCAATATATACTTATATCTGATAAACATACAGAAAATAAATTAGCATTTTCTTAATTTAAGTGAATTGTAACGTTTACCTATCTACCAGCCAGATAGATGGTGAACGCCCCCGGATTCTTTTTTCGGGGTTATATGCAAATGACTTAAAGCCTAAATGAATGAACGCTAACTCAACAACACACTAGGGCTCGATTTCGATGTCTAGGGAAAACTAGTGATACTATTGAAGTTAACAACTCATTCAATCTGCATACAACCTTTAATAAGCGAACACAGTTGTGGCAGAACACTTAGTTAAACGAGATAAAATATTTAATTTAGAAAATAACAAAACCCAACTTACAAAGCGTAAGAAAAAATACTATCACAGATTTTAACACTGTATAAAAATAGCCACAGGTCACACAACACTGCTATAGCTTCAAGAATCACTTGGCGACAAGTAATATTATACTAGAAGACTAAAACAACTTAAGAAAGCATAGCACACTCAGGACTTAAGTTCTCTCACGTTCAAATGGTCAGAATCTATTGCCGGACAAAATGGACGGCCTGGTCATAATAGACCGCTTGATCAAGGTGGACTGCCTCGTGTCGCGTGTGTGCGATCTAGTTAAAGACTTAGGCCACAGGGGAGGTTATCCTCAACTCCTGTAGCCATTGGTTGGGGTGGTCATCTGATCTGAATCAATCAATCAGATCTTGATGGAAAATTTCTTAGTCTTAGACACCCTTAATAAGACAGTGGAAAAAACCCGGTGGTTGCACCATCAATCCATATAAGGTATTATACAAAGTCAAACCAAAAATAAAACATGACTAGACCTAAGTAGGTCACAGAATTAATTCAGGATTTGATACTTAGTTTCTTGAAAGCCTAGTAGTAATGTAAAAATTATCATTTCACAGCTGACATTTAGTACAAAAAGTGTGGCAATATTGAAAACTGCTTGCAGACTTCTAAACAGTTAAAAAATATTTAAAATTCTATTACAATTAAAAAGATTAAATACACCAGTAAAAATTAAAAAAAAAATAACACATTTTTGATTAAATTGATTAAGTTACAACAGTTAAATCTAAACTAACAGGTTCAGGTAAATTTCGGCCCATGTTCAGCATCACCAGTTGCCACTTGCAACTGTAAAACTGCGATACAGTCAGGGGATGATGTCATTGTATTTAAGTGAGTTTTTATTTTTTATTTTAACATAAATTAAGAATTGCATATTCACTTTTTGCATTTCCTGAACAAATAGTGTGCTGTTTTCAATTTTAAAACTCTTTTGTAAATTTATCATTATTTTACTTACTTATAAGTTATAAATAAAGTTAAACTACGGAAAACATGAAAAATAATTTTATTTATTTATAATGAAAAAATATAGATTTATGCAAAAAAAGATTAATAGCTTGAATAATATATATATTGTTGAAGTTTTTTTATAAAATTGGATGTTAAATAAAGTTTAGTTTTTTTTTTAAGTTTCCGCTCAATTTTAAACCATTTTCAATTAGGCCTCTACACGAAAAAACAAATTACTTTTTAAAAAATTATTTGAATTTTAGTTCTTGCGATGTCAGACAAAACCATCTACGGTCAGATGCTGCAGCTCTGGATGTCCAGATTATTCGCAATGGGGAGTTGACTCCTGGAACTAAGATAAAACAACTTGGTGGAGGTCAACAGTATGATGTAGGCTATGTCAACAATTAAAATCATAATTTAATATTGCTATCTATAAACACTATGATGTTGACTATTATTTGAATTATCAACAATTTAGTTTCATTAGTTATAAACAGTATAATGTAGGCTGTTGTTTGTAATGTTAAAATCATGATTTAATTTCAATAACTATAAACATAATATAATAAAATATGTTCAGGTGATTTACTAGAATAGCACATACTTAATTTATTATATTGTAGCAAATTTGTTTTCTGTGTCTAAAATTATGATTACATTTTGCATTAACCAATGAGCACATGTGTTTCAGGTTCTTCTACCAACAGGAACTGTTGTGTCTGTTATGCCTAGCATGTACACTTTCATGAACATTTTTATTACAGCATCACCATCTGACTTTAATGAGACAGAAGGTGATACACATTTTTATTAAACCACATGATTCTGTGTGTCTGAAAGTCTTACTTAACTAGTCATATTTTAATTATATATATTTTTTGTACATTAAATATAAGTTTCATATTGAATTATGTTAAATTATAAAGCTTGGCTGTGTTTTTATTATTTTACAATCCTGACTGAATAGTTTATCCTAGTAACTGGAAACTAATTTTATCGTCACATATAAAACACAGATGTGATGTGAGATTATTTTCTTGTTATAATATTTTACTAAATGTATTGTTGTCACAGGTCTATGTGGCAATTTTAATGGTAGAACAGATGATGATATGGGCAATTTGGATGAAGACACATTTAACTCACATTGGAGGTTAGTGCCAATAAATGTAATTATTACTTTAAAGTAATTTAGTGTTTTCCCAATCAAATTAATTATAAAAAGTAGAGTAGATGAAATGTTATGAAAAATCAGACAATAAAAAGGAATTAAAAGACAAGATTAAATTGAATCATTTCGACATACATGATTCAGCAAAACCTTGTAACTGTGCCTTTAACAGAGCTAGTACAACTATCTACTGTGGTGTGCCAGCACAACAAGATCCTGAACCAGCAACATACAGTAGCTGTACTCAAGGCTTTACACCCATCTCTAAGCCTGGATTGGATGTTTCTAGATGCTCATCTGATAGTAAATTTAAATATTTTTTCCAGAGTGTTCTAAACTAATGTTAAAAGCAGTTACGTAAACTTAGCATGGATGCAGTGTTTCTTCCAGACTTTTTTCTCTGGGGGGGGGGGGGGGGGGGAGGGGGGGCTCCACCCCCACGAAGAGATGCCTGGAAGAAATCTGCATGGATGTTTCTTGATGTTTATCTCCTATTAAAAAAACATGTTCTTGCACTTTCTTAACATTATAAACAGTACACAAAATAGCTGTCACAAAATGAACCAAATCTTTAGGACTTTATAATTTGTTTTTGGTATTTTATTTCACTATTAGATAATGATATAACAAGTGCTCTTAAGCTTCAATCCAAGACTAGCAACAGTTGTACCCCAGAAGCTTCTAGGAAAAAAAGACAAGTTGCTAACTCTTCTGTTTGGGTGAGTTTTTCTTTTGTCTATTGCATTTTCAAATCTTTTAAATAACACTAAATAAAATTTTGAGGTTTCCAATTCTCTGCCATTTTATGTTAAATAAATATTATAAACCAGTGCCTTCTAATCAAATGGAAATCTATAGGGCCAATGTAGAAATGTTAATTTACAATTAATTGAATTTTGGTTTATGAACTGGTACTAATTTTTGGAATATGCTTGCAGTAGTTTAATGCCTCCCTTTGAGAATATATTTTTTAATATGACCAATAATACATACTTGTGAGCTTAAGCTAAATGGGTCAAATTTGTATAGCCCCCTAATCAGGAATATTTGTTATTGGTAAGCATAGAGAAATGTTTCTTTACCAAACTAATAAAGCTATATGGGTCACTATACCATGACTAGTAGAAAAGAATTTAGTCTGCATTTTATTAATAAACAATTGTTTTTATAAACAAAAAGGAACAAGACAAACTATCGCTGTATTTAAATTTTAAAAATGTATATTTATTATTATTATAGTGAAACAAAATATTTTCTTAGTCTTTAAAAATAATAATTTTAAAAATAATAACAATAATGTTAATAGATTTCAATACAGTAATATTATAAAATGACATTTAGTGTTTCATTTTTTTTTTAAAAAATATGATTTCCTTCTAAGAGCAAAAGTGCAGTTAACTACACATTAGAAGAGGCTGAAAGAAACTGTTCAGATTACTTGAAGAATAGTAGGACAGTCAAAGCCTGCACAAATCAACTTTCAGATGACAGAGTTAAGGAGAGTGTCACCAACTGTGCTTATGATCTGGTGGTAAATAAAAGAAAGCATTTATTTATTCTTTTATACATCAAAACAAAAGTAAAAAAAAGCTTTTTCTTTCATTTTTTATTTCAATTCATTTGCATATTTGCAAATATGTGTTCAAAGTAAATTGTGTACAGAGCACATGCCTGTTTTATTAAATCCTGTGTATAGAGCAGAGTGCTATTTTATTGGGCTGTGTCACATGTTAGTTCCAGAAGTTTAAAATTGTTATAAATTAAAATTTCATCAACAACAGAGCACAGGACTGTTTGATTGGGCTGTGTCCCATGTTAGTTCTAGCAGTTTAAAAAAGTTATCAATTAAAATTTCATCAACAACAGAGCACAGGACTGTTTGATTGGGCTGTGTCACATGTAAGCAACCTGGCAGAGGAGTGTATCACACGAGCTGAACAAAACCAAAGTTCATGGACAGGTGAAGGTGACACACCTGGTGAACCTGTACTTCCTCAAGCCATTGTCACCCAGCTGTGTGTCAGGGACTGTGGGGATAACGGACAATGTCACAACTGTAATATGACTTAAATATTTATTAAATTATGATTAGTAGCCATATAGGTAAATTAAAAAATCAAACATTCAAAATACTGTACTAAAGATAAGAATTCACTTAAATGCAGATTTTATTTTCTTGTAGTTAAATTACAGTATATTGTTTTTTTTAGCTTATTGCAGATGTAAGGACGGCTACTTTGGTGAAAGTTGCCAGTTTGGACCCAACACTGTGCCACTCATTTTTGGAGCAGAGAAAACTTGTAATATTCAAGAATCTTCTTGTGAAACAGTCAGGATAGATGGGGATTTTTTCACATCTTCTGATAATCTTGCTTGCCATATAAACTTTGCTGCGGTAAGAAAAACAAAACAATGTGTTCTGCACTATACCCTGTTGCCTTTAATTTCCTTAAATTAAATCCGGTACCCATCAGAGTTGTTGGGTAAACTCAGAGATGTCCAACAGACTCATGCCATAAGGACATGAAGGAATATTTTAATATATGTTTTGGGAAAATATGTATCTACTCAGTGCTATAGTACTGCAATTATTTTCAGAACATAGCAAATAAAAATAAATGGAATTTTATTCAACTACAGGTGGACACACGTGCAAGAAAAACAGAGAGCAGTGCTGTAGTGAGAGCAGAGTACATCAGCATGTACCAAGTTGGATGTACACTCCCTACACGACGCAGCGCCTACATCACCGTCACAAACGATGGCGTCCGTCAGAGCGAAAATGTTTACCTTCATGTTGTCCACAACTCCAGCTGTCAGACGTGTGTCATCAATGATAACAAAACTGATGTTGACTGTCAAATAATTGTAAGTAGAAAAAAAGCTTCAACAACATTAAAATGTTTCAAATTTCTACAATTTCATCATATATTGACATTTAATTGAATATTTTTAATCTGCCATTTCTTGGTGATAATCTTATTTAATGTTACTATAAAATTTGTGTATTTGAATTATTTTTGCAATAGGCCATGATTAAAATTTCACAATTTTTTTCACTCATTAATTTGAAATTAATTTAAAATACATTTCACGTTTAAAAAAATTATAACTAATTTCTGTTTATAAACACAACATATTTTTAATATTAACAAAATGTGTTATTATGCAAATTCCAAAACCTAGACAAATGTGTGTGTGATAGAAGGACAATGTTACTTACAACAACAAGAAGACAACGGGGACTCATGTAATTTCTGTGATCCTAACAGTAGTAACATTGTGTGGACTAGGAAAACTTGTAAGCATGATACTTTTGACTAGGAACTTGATATATATAACTTATATTATTATTTTAATATTTAATATTACAGTATTGCACTTTTAGTAGATTTAGAAAGCAATTGTAATATTATACGTACACATGTAGATATACTTATTTGTAAAATATAATTTGATTGCATTTTTTAGATTGTGCATTATATATATATATATATATATATATATATATATATATATATATATATATATATATATATATATATATATATATATATATATATATATAAAATATTTCTGTTGTATCAATATTGATAAAACAATGCTAATAATGCACATACTGTTCTTCTGAAAATATCTTCTTGTAATTCAGCATGTGATGAGGGCTTGTCTCAAGGGGCCATTATCGCTATTAGCGTTGTTTGTGCTGTTGTCGGGCTGGTTCTCATCCTGGTCATCACCATAGTGATCTGTAAGAAAAAGAGGTCAGGGCTTTGGTAATTTTTAAACAGGAAAAAAATGTCACATTTTAAATCATACTTTTTAAAAACTTTTTTAATTTTCTAAAATGCTGCGGGTTGTAACATTATTTTGTCATAATTTGTAATCCTGAGATATATTAAAACTTTCTTTGCTGATACCTTAAAAAATTCATAAATCATTATTAGGAACCTAAACTACTTCTATGTGGATTTAGTTATTAACTAGTGTAGTTTTTAAAGGAAATGTTTTAAAACTTAATGAACCAAATTATGATACAAATGTATTTTTTATATTCAACAGAGGAGGGCTATCAGTATAGAATGCTTACCAATCAAATTTCTAAAATACTACAATCTAAATTGTGTACTGGAGTGTAACAGTTGGAACTAATATCAAAATTATTTTCCTTTTATTGATTCTATTTGGATTTGAATTTTTGTAATTTTTTTTATAAATAATCACAGTATATTCAACATCTATAATAAATATAATGTAATAATAACTTTAAATATGCCAAAGTTACATTTGTCTAAATACCCTTTGTATTCGATACCTAGTTAGCTTTAAATAATGTCTTGTCTATAAAAAAGTTTGGTAGGTGATTCAAAATTTTGCTCTCAGAAAGCATTTCTTTTAGTCTCTCTCATTTTTTATTATTATGCCATTCTTCGTGTTATGAGTGATCTGTACACACTTCTTTTTTAATCAAAATACGGTTTTCAACAGATTGTTCGATTAAACTTGTTTAATCCTAAGCTAAAAGGCAAATAAGTAGAAAAAATATCACTTGACTAGATTAGCACTAACCTATCACATCAATGCTGTTAACGTATAGAAGCACTGACCTATCATTAGGATTTCTTTTGGATATTTCTCCTAAGCAACCCCCCCCACCCAACCTTGAACAAAAATTGAAAAAAAAATTATATTGGAAATATATTTAACCTGCTTCTACACCCCACCGCAAACAGGAAGTTTCAAATGCTTCCCCATCCCCCATGGATAAAGTTATTGTGTAACCCGGTATTCGTATGAGCGCCATACACTAGGGACACGGAGTGATACTAAAATCGATTACTAAATCGAACAAGGGGTGTCTTCCAGCGCTACAGCAGTAGTAACGGTTGGTTGTCCCGAGTTACCCAGCGGCTACCTGAGATCAAAGGATCAGTTGATTGCGCGTCCCGCGGAGTCAAGGGTACTACCTGATACAAAGGTCAATCTGCAACAGTGGCGGCTTTCGACACTCCCGGCGTACGGATGACACCAATTACACGAATATTACACAAAGGGACTCGGTAGGCCTCTACGTTCGATGATTAAACCGAACTGATATGCCTATTGTGTCAGGAGCCATCCAGGTATCGAACTTACATAAACTACTAGAATATATCTCAATGAACATCTTTATCATTTAGAAAGTTAAAATGTTGAAAAAAAAACAACCAGATCTAAATCCATCACGTGAAATGTTTTTAAAAATTGTGTTTGATAAGTGGCGTCACAAGGTCGGATGTTACCCTGTGCGATGTTACCATCGTCCACATAAAAAAATGCATTTTCGGTGGGGTGTCACCCCTCTCTCACCAGAGGCGTAGCGAGGGGGGGGGGGGGGCGGGGGGGGGGACATATGTCCCCGGGCGCCGACCTTAGGGGGGGGGCGCGAAATTGAAAGTTTGAGGGGGGGTGCAAATGAAAAGTTCAAGGGGGGGTGCAAATCGAAAGTTTGAGGGGGGGGGGGGTGCAAATGAAAAGTTCAAGGGGGGGGGGGGTGCAAATCGAAAATTTGCTCCCGAGGGGGGCGCCAAATTGAAAGTATGTCCCCGGGCGCCGGGAAGGGTCGCTACGCCTCTGTCTCTCACTAATCTTTTGTTATTAAGCTTGATACAGCTTAGTTTTGTTAGTAAATTCTAAAATGTTTTGTCAAAGTATCAGGCATAAATGTTGTCATCAGATGCATACAGCACCCCTGCCCCCGCCTTGTGTCGCTACTGTGTTTGGTTACAAAAACAACACATTAACTAAAAGCCTGTAACATTTTTACAAAACAATGGGGTAATAGCAGTAGTAGGCCAACATAATAATTTAGTATAAATACATAACCAGGACATATAAAATACAAAATGTACAGAATATTTACATTATTTAAAACTATCAATCGTAAGTAGCAGTTGATCTCTTCGTTCATCTCTATTGTAACTTAACGGCTGACGAAGGGGCCCACTGGTAATTTTTGCATAGGTGCCCGGAAATCCTAGCTACGCCACTGGAAAGATAATGTAAGTATGAGATGTAATATTGTTTTACATTTGAATCCAATGATACAGAGATCCCCCCCCCCGCAAAAATTTTCATCCCACTCCTTCTCTCCCCCACCCCGGACTGGTAAAGGCTGTAGTAGGTAGTCTACGTGATAAGGAATAACGACGATAAATTAGCCTTCATGGCAAAAGCAACCACTTCTGCAAGGCCTACTAACTCATTGTTACTCTATGGCTTCACCTAACAGTTATTCTAACCCTCACCCTAATTCCCTGTTACTCTACCCCTCCCCCTAACTCCATGTTACTCTACCCCTCCCCTTAACTCCCTGTTACTCTACCCCTCCCCTTAACTCCCTATTACTCTACCCCTCCCCTTAACTCCCTGTTACTCTACCCCTCCCCTTAACTCCCTGTTACTCCCCCACCCCCTTTCAATAGTTTTACTTCCTTATAGAGTTTATGTCGTTGTTTGACCGAGCTGGATTTTTCCAGAAAACGAGCCTTTATTGTTTCGTTTTTTCCAACACAAAGTTCGAGTATTAAATTTTTTTTTTAATTGCTCGATACTATCTGTTGAGAGTCCTAGCATTATAAATGATTTTAACTTGATAAAAACTCAAGTGCATTATTATGTGGACCCTGATTATGTAGAGCTTGTGACTGATGTAGTGATATGCGGGAATGGATGATGTGTGAATGGTGTATGGTGGAAGGTGGATTGGGTGAGGTGATGTGTGGAAGTAGTGGATTGATTAGTGGATGTGGTGGAGTGATGTGTGGATGTGGTGCAGTGATATGTGGGAGGGGGTGCGTGGTGTTGTGGGGTGATTATTGGATGTGCTAGGGTGATGTGTGGATGTAGTAGGGTGATGTGTGGATGTGTTAGGGTGATGTGTGGATGTAGTAGGGTGATGTGGGGATGTGTAGATGTGGATGTGGTGGGGTAGTGTATGGATGGGGGGTGGTGTGTGGATGTGGTGTGGTGGTGTGTGGATGTGGTAAGGTGGTGTGTGGATCTGGTGGTGTGGTGTATGGATGTGGTGGAGTGATGTGTGGATGTGGTGGAGTGAGATAGTGAGTAAATTCCACCAAGGTCCGACTACCATACAAATATGTAATTTAAAAAATGTCATGAGTGATAATAGGACGGTTAAAAAGCAACCCAATTAATAACAAAATAAATCTTCATAAGTCACTTAACAAGCACTTCAGTTGTCCTATAATTGGTTATACTTGTTTCTTTGTTGTTACAAGTGCAGTTGATACTTGTGTTAAGTAGAGACAACACGTAAACAACTATTTTAAATTAATACACAAGACACATCATTTGTTTGCTCTATGAGGCTAATGAATGACATTTAGATATCTAGGAAGTACATGAAATAAAGACACAAGACACATCATGTGTTTGCTCTATGAGGCTAATGAATGACATTTAGATATCTAGGAAGTACATGAAATAAAGACACAAGACACATCATTTGTTTGCTCTATGAGGCTAATGAATGGCATTTAGATATCTAGGACGCACATGAAATAAAGACACAAGACACATCATTTGTTAGCTCTATGAGGCTGACATTTAGATATCTAGGAAGTACATGAAATAAAGACACAAGACACATCATGTGTTTGCTCTATGAGGCTAATGAATGACATTTAGATATCTAGGAAGCACATGAAATAAAGACACAAGACACATCATGTGTTTGCTCTATGAGGCTAATGAATGACATTTAGATATCTAGGAAGCACATGAAATAAAGACACAAGACACATCATTTGTTTACTCTATGAGGCTGACATTTAGATATCTAGGAAGTACATGAAATAAAGACACAAGACACATCATTTGTTTGCTCTATGAGGCTAATGAATGACATTTAGATATCTAGGAAGTACATGAAATAAAGACACAAGACACATCATTTGTTTGCTCTATGAGGCTAATGAATGACATTTAGATATCTAGGAAGTACATAAAATAAAGACACAAGACACATCATGTGTTTGCTCTATGAGGCTAATGAATGACATTTAGATATCTAGGAAGCACATGAAATAAAGACACAAGACACATCATGTGTTTGCTCTATGAGGCTAATGAATGACATTTAGATATCTAGGAAGCACATGAAATAAAGACACAAGACACATCATTTGTTTGCTCTATGAGGCTGACATTTAGATATCTAGGAAGCACATGAAATAAAGACACAAGACACATTATGTGTTTGCTCTATGAGGCTAATGAATGACATTTAGATATCTAGGAAGCACATGAAATAAAGACACAAGACACATCATTTGTTTGCTCTATGAGGCTTATGAATGATATCTAGGAAGGACATCAAATACATACGCAAGAAACATCATTTGTTTACTCTATGAAGCTAATGAATGACATCATAGTAGAAAATCGCAGTTCCACTTTATATACATAATATGTATATGCTATTACA